GAGCCCAGGGGGGGGGCGAAGCTCTCCTCCTCCTCCTCCTCCTCCTCCTCCTCCTCCTCCTCCTCCTCCTCCTCCTCCTCCTCCTCCTCCTCCTCCTCCCTCTCCTCCTACCACATTCTGGTTCCCATCGAATTCCAGTGGTTTCGTCCTCTTCCTCTTCCTCGGCCACCTTCCGAGGGGAGGACGGAGGGGGGCAAGAGAGTGGTTGGCTGGGGGGCGGGAGGGCAAGGAGGCCAGGGGCGAGTGAGGGGGCGAGGGAGGGAACGGCGAGGGGAGGGCTCCTTTCCCTTCCCCTTCCCCTCTCCCTCTCCTCTCCCTCCCTCACTTCTCCCTCATTCGCCTCTCCCGCTCCCTCTCACCTCTCCCTCTCCCTCTCCCTGATCCTCTTTCTCCCTCTACACTAACTCCTCTAAGCTCACTTCCGCAACATCTCCACCGATGTGATACTCGGGTCTCCCTCAGCCACTCTCCCCTCCTACCCCTAACCCCTTCATCCCGCATACAGTCTACTCGTTCTCCCTTATACATTCCCCCTCTCTCGACCCTGCTCAGTCGCCCTCTCACACGATGCTCTCGGGTCTCTCCCTCGACTATACCTCCTCCACTCCCCCTGATCAATCTCCCTCGCCCTACCTCCCGACTCCTCTCTCACCTCTCCCTCTCCCTCCCTCTCCCTCTCCCTTCCTACTACTTCACTCTCCCTCTCCATCGTCACATCCTCTCCATCTCCCCTCCTCTCCCTCTCCCTCTCTTCCTCACCCTCCTCTCCCTCCCCCCCCTCCTCTCCTCCCCGCCTTTCCCTATCCCTCTATCCCTATATGCCTTCTCTCCTCCCTCTCCCCTCCTCGCCTAATCCTCCTCCCTCTACCTCCTTCCCTCCTCCTCCTCCGCCTCCTCTTCCTCCTCCCCCCTCCTCTCCTTCCCCTCCTACTCCTCCTCCTCCTCCTCCTCCTCCCCCCCTCCTCCTCCTCCTCCTCCTCCTCCTCCTCCTCCTCCTCCTCCTCCTCCTCCTCCTCCTCCGCCATCCTCTGCCCTCCTCCTCCTCCTCCTCCTCCTCCTCCTCTTTCTCCTCGAGGGCTTGATTTGTGCTTGGCGTGCGCGGGAGGGGGGCGAAGAGGAGGGGACGTCAACTGCCAGGCTTGAGGAGGACGAGGCAGGGGGCGAGGGAGGGAAGGGCGGATGGGGGACCACCGAGGGGTGGGAGGAGGGGGAGGTGGAGGGGGACGACAATCGAGGACGCGCAGACATGCATCAAGGCGCGTGGATTTGCGACGGGTCCTGTTTTCTTTGGGGTCAGCGGCCCGCCGCCCGCCTGTCGTCGTGAGGGCGAGGGGGGGAGGGATGCTCCGCGGACGCCTTGTGTGCACCTTTCCGCGCTGGCGTCTCCCGAGACGTCGTCGATCCTCGAGAGAGACGGGGCATCGTATGTCGGCCATCCAGGCCGAAGTAACATGTACCGTGCCGCGTTGGAGCGGGGCCTACAGGGAGTTGAGTCATGGTACGGCGCATGGGCGCCGTTCTCGTAGAGGAGGGGATCGTGTTGTTGTGCTGTTTTCCATACGATGTTATTCTGGCGTCTTTTTTTGTGTTTTGGTGCCCTTTCACATTTCCAGTAGTTCTCAATATTTTGTTTTGCGGTTCTTCAGACAGTTCTTTATTTTCATTTTTTTTGTTTTTTTGTTTGTTTTTTTCAGTGTTCGTGATTGATGATTGAAAGCTTTGTTCATTATTGAGAAATAACTTTCGTTGAAACCTGTTTTTTGTGTTCTTGTTGATTTTGAGTGCGGACTTGATGTTTTTGCATGCTCTTATAATTTTGTCAATTGTTTTGGTTATTTTTGGTCGGTAAATGGTCGGCGGGTGGTCGGTGGGTGGTCGGTGGTTGGTCGGCGGGTGGTCAGCGGGTGGTCGGTGGGTGATCGGTGGGTGGTCGGTAGCGGCCGGTGGGCGGTCGTTTTTTTTTGTTTTTGTTTTTGTAGTTTTTTGTTTGTTTGTGTTTGTTTGTTGACAACGTCGAGAACACAAAGGTGTTCCCCCAAACAACAAAACATTGACATAATAACACGATTTTGCTTGACACAATGACAACACACGCCTACGTCAATCCACACACTTATGCTTTGCTTAGAATCACACGAAGAAACACAACACTGCAACACAATCATTCGTATGTGTAACAACAACAGAATGCGAACATGCAAACCAGATGATGGTTGTTCCTGGAAGCATGAATAATGTACACCAGCGCCCCCCCCAAGCAATTAATTTGCTAGACACACGCAAAACGTACAAACCTTACACATCATAATGATTTTAGACAAGAAAACAGAAGCACACATAAGAAAAGCAGTCGATTTTGTTTGAACGAGAAAACAATACGAAGCTATCACGCAGAAACGATTTTGCACCTCTGGCTGTTTTTGCAAAAAAAGCACAAGCCACACAACAATATCAAGCCAAACAACCACAGCCACGCACACATACGCAAACAACACATACACAATAACGGGAGACAACACCCCGCGTCCGCTGCTCTCCTCCTCCCCCTCCCCCTCTTGTCGCCTCGTTGCCTGAGCTCCCCTCGTGTCATCATCCCCACCACCATCGTCATCAACATCATCGGCGCAACCATAATTTTCATCTTCATCACTGTCACCATCATCACCCTCGGTTTCGGCGGCTCCGGGCCCAGAAAGGGGCTCAGACTAAGCACGTCCCGCCCTGTTGCGGGCTGTACCAGCGTTCGCTAAGGGGGAAGGGAGGAGGAGGAAGAGGAGGAGGAGGAGGAAGAGGAGGAGGGGGAGGAGGAGGAGGAGGAGCAGGAGCAGGAGCAGGAGCAGGAGGAAGCGGAGGAGGAGGAGGAGGACGAAGAGGAGGAGGAGAAGGAGGAGGAGGAAACGAGAGCGGGAGGTGAAAGGGGGAGTGGGAGGAGGAGGAGGAAGAGGAGGAGAAGGAGGAGGAGGAGGAGAAGGAGAGGAATAGGAGTAGGAGGAGGAGGATGATGAGGAGGAGGGCGAGGAATAGGAGTAGGAGGAGGAGGAGGAGGAGGAGGATGAGGAGGAGGAGGAGGAGAGGGAGGAGGAGGGGGAGGATAAGGAGTATGAGTAGGAGGAGGAGAAGGAGGAGGAGAAGGAAGAGGATATCGGGGGGGGGAAGGTGAGGGGAATACCTAAGAGATGGAGGAGGATGAGGATGAGGATGAAGAGGAGGAGGAGGGGGAGGAGGAGGACCAGTGTAAACCCAAGAGTCATTAACGATGTTGGAATAGACCCTTCCTCCAATCTCCATCTTCATAGGCCACCGAGGGAACTGCCTCGTTGGAAGACAACCGTTTGAAGACCCTGAAGCGTGCCAAAACATTGTTCCCGGGATTCCAGCGCCACGGATCAACCTGCCTGTTGCGTCTTGACGTGACGATCCTGAATCGGGCCAGAACGCCATTCCTGGGATCTCAACATCGCGAATCAACGTAATTGTTGCATCCTCATAATCCTGAATCCTTCCTAAACATAATTTCTGGTACGTTGATCATGGGAATCTGTGAAACTCTTGCAAGTTCAGGGACGAATGTGCGCGGCGCTAAGGCGAGAGCCACGTTTTGAAAAGGAAGCGCCCTAAAACGGATATACGCGGCGCTAAGGCGAGAGCCACATTTTGAAACGTCCTGCCCTCAAGCCGTGAAACTCTTGCCTCTTGCACATTTTGTCAACGAATGTGCGCGGCGCTGAGGTGAGAGCCACATTTTGAACACCACGCGCCCTCAATCCGTGAAGCTGTTGCAATTTGTTTAAACGAATGTGCGCGGCGCCGAGGTGAGAGCCACATTTTGAACACCACGCGCCCTCAATCCGTGAAACTGTTGCAATGTTTTAAGCTTCAGGGTCATAAATGGTAAGGAAATCAAAGGCGAAACAAAGCGCACGGCCCGCCCTAAAAACTGGCTTCGGGGTGCGACAGGGAGATCATATTTATAAGGATAAGGAATGGAGGAGGAGGAGGAGGAGGAGGATGAGGAGGAGGAGGAGGAGGAGGAGGAGGAGGAGGAGGAGGAGGAGGAGGAGGAGGAGGGGAGGAGGAGGAGGAGGAGGAGGAGGAGGGAGGTGAGGCGGAGGAGGAGAGGAGGAGGAGGAGGAGGAAGGAGGAGGATGAGGAGGGAGGGGAGGAGGAGGAGGAGGCGGGAGGAGGAGGAGGAGGAGGAGGAAGGAGGAGGAGGAGGAGGAGAGAGGAGGAGGAGGCAGGGAGGAGGAGGGGAGGAGGAGGAAGAGGAGGAGAGGAGGGAGGAGGAGGAGGAGAGAGGAGGAGGAGGAGGAGGAGGAGGAGGAGAGGTGGAGGAGGAGGAGGAGGAGGAGGAGGAGGAGGAGGAGGGGAGGATGGAGGCGGAGGAGGAGGAGGAGGAGGAGGAGAAGGAGGAGGAGGAAGAGGAGGAGGAGGAGGAGGAGGAGGGTGTAATCTTCGGCCGCGCCCGCGCCGCGCGGAAGTGGCACTCGGCTTCTGGCGCTCTGGCCGGGCCTACGCCGCGCCGCCCGCGCGTCGCCCGCCGCCCCAGAGGGGCGTGCTCCGTCTGTCGATCTGCAGACCCCCCACCTGCCCTCGCCCTTCCTCCAGGAGGCCCTCCTTTCCCGCCGCATCCTCCTCGCTTCCTCCTCCTCCTCCTCCTCCCTCTCCTCCCCCTCCTCCTCCTCCTCCTCCTGCCCCTCCTCCTCCTCTCCTCCTCCTCCTCCTCCTCTCCCCTCCTCCTCCCCTCCTCCTCCCTCCTCCTCCTCCTCCTCCCCCTCCCCCTCCCCCCTCCTCCTCCTCCCCCTTCTCCTCCTCCTCCTCCTCCTTCTCCTTATCCTCCTTCCCAATCCTGTTCACTCCTCTAACTCCTCCTCGCCCCTCCTCGTTCCTTCTTCCTTCTCGCTCCGCCTCGCCCCTCCTCGCTCCTGACTCCCCACTCCGCCATCTTCCCTCGTCTTCCGCTTGCCTGGCTCTTCGCCCCAACTCCTCGCTTCCCTTTCTCC